TTTCTTCTAGGGTTTTATAATGAAGTAGTTGAAAATGGGTCATTTTTCCTGTATTTGTTCTGTTTGGGTACCGCAGTGGTTCTGGCTTTAGAGTTGATGTGCAGATTAATCCTCTGATTCTTTGAATTTTCTCTGAAAAGAAGCTGGAAAAACTTGTTCCATCAGCATTAGATTGAGTTCATGTGGTAACGTCATAGGAGGGTTTGTGAGCCTGTCAACTGTTGCAAATAAAACTCCAGCATTTTGTTTATAACATCTGCAAAGAAAGCCTCCCTTGCATGTTTTAGTGTTGAGTGATAGTTACGTAGTCTTTCTTTATAGATGTCATTATGAACGTGAAGTTGAGTTTTACTCCATTTTGGTTCTGCTCTGAGACAGAGTTCTCTTGCAGATCAAACTGTTTGTGCTTTTCTCCATGGAGATTTCTTCCTACCAGACACAACCTTTACTTTAATTGGGGCAATAGATTCAATGATATATGAAACTTTAGACGCTTGGAGACCCAGGATGAGGTGAAGAGGAGGTTTATTGGTGTCAATGATCCAATAACACAATACACAGTTGGTCCATGACCAGGTAGCACGGTTGAGCGGAAGCATGGGCTCAACACCGGTAGCACTGTCCACACGAGTGGACAAGACAACAGGCAAGAGCAGTGACGAAAATTAGACGAGAAACAAAGGACACAGGAGGGATTAAATGCACAGAGGGTAATCACGAAGACGAGACACACCTGGGAGTAATCAAGGGGAAGACAGGACAATGAGGAGACTCAGAGACACAGAAAATTCAAACTAAATACACAGAAAAACACGGAACAGCAAAACGTTAACAATTGGGTCAAATTTAAAACCTCAACAAAGTCCATCCCGAAAGGAAACAATTGTTTCTCAACAGCCGAGAGCCCAGAGCTTGTGGACGAAGCAAAGCATATCTAAAGAGAAGAATGACATAGATATCGGGGAGTTGGTGGGAATAACTGTCTTGATTGCTTCTGTGATTCATGCTCTCTTTGCCTGGCCTTTCAGTTTATCTTGATGCCTGTGTATTGGTAGGTTTACACTTATTTCACCATCTTTTCATCTTTAGAAGGCAGAATGAACAGAGCTCTGTGAGATTAAATGGGAATTTTTTTTACTGAAATTGATATTGGAGTGTATAACTGCATATAGCTGGATTCTACTGACTAAATGTGAGGAGTGTGGAAGCTAAATAATTACATGTGATTTGAAGGGGAATTGGTGTAGAGGGGGCTTGATACAAAACAAGAACAGCACATTTTTTAGAGGTCTATGTTTTCTGTTGTGTTTATTTGAGTTTTCTGTGTCCTGAGTCTCCTGGTTGTCCTGTCTTCCCCTTGATTGTTCCCAGGTGTGTCTTGTTCCCCTGATTACCCTCAGTGTATTTAGTCCCTCCTGTGTTCTTTGTTCCTCGTCGGGTCCTTGTCATGTTTTGGCGTCGCTCCATGTCGTAGTTTGCGTTTGACCAGTTTCTACCGGTGTGAGCCCTGGCTTCCGCTCAGCCGTGCTGCTTGGCCGCGGACTTGTTTTGTTGATTGTGTTTGCTGGACTATTTTCGTATTAAACCTACACTATTCACCTTACCTGGGCCTCCAGCATCTGCCTCACCGCCTCCACCACACCATTTCATGACAGCCTATTAATAAAAAAAAAAAATAAATCCATCTCTGTGCCCACAACTCCAGTCTGATGAAGCTGAAGTTGACAAAGACTCTCTATACTTTCTCTGCCCTACCTTGTGTTGGGCTGATGCATTAAATCTAAATAAAACACACTGTGAACAAGCCTTATGACTGGGAGTGACTGTGCAAGGCAGATATAATGAAAAATGTAGTGGAAGAAGAGAAAAAATAAATCTCACTCACCCACACCTACTCCAATTCTCCTTTGATGAATCATTACATTATAATCACAGAAAACATATAAGAAGTTAAGTTACATTTGTCTCTGACTCACAAAGCTTTTAGTCTGGTGTAAAGCTTTCATATTGGAATAATCAGTGAGACATTGGTGATGGCTCAATAAAGCGTCCTTTAAGTTTGTATCTTAAGGACAGAGACATCCTGAGACAGATCGGTCTTCTAATCATCTTATGCTCCATAAACACCACGTTCACGTTTACTCAGCACTGCATTTCTAGAAAAGGTCATTAAAGGTTATTATTTCTTATCAGGAACTTCTTACATACTACACAAACACTGCAAGCTGGGCCAATTTACTGCTGTCATGCCTAAACAGGATCAGATGCCTGAGTCTGATGATGAAGCCAGAAAGATCCGGCTCTTACAACTTACCATCACTTTTTTTGGTTTGCTCCTCCCTAAAAGTGAAAACAGGGATGAAGGATTCATTTCAAAATTATGCTGAAACTGATTCCTCGACAAGCCCTGACATATCTAAGCAGGTTGTTTCTCTTTGTTTAGTATCAGAAATGCCAGTTTCTTCTCTTGGGATGTGAAACTACATGGTTGTGAAACACAAGTACTGCAGAACATCTCCAAACATGATCCCTGATAAAGCCAAACATAAAACACCTCACCTCCTTAAGCAGAGATTATTATGTCATGCTTGCTGAAATGTTGGATAAAAGTAAAAAATGGAGCAAGGAGAGGAATGATCTCAATTTTTCTAAAGTATATTCCGATTCACCAAATATGTGAATCTGAAGCTCTTCTGAGTTTCCTTATGAGGTATTCAGCAGCATGTTTACTTAGCTTGTCAGTATGAGTGATGGGGCATCTCTGTTAGGGGTGTCCAAAGTGTGGTCCAGGGGCCATTTATGGCCCCTAACTGCAGCTCTAGAAAGATACAAATTGGTTTATTAAACCTTTTTTGTAAAAGTAGGGTCAAATTTTTATTGACATAATTTTCTTACAATAGATGATGTTTAATGCAACACTTTTTACAACAAAAGTTTTATAACAAGTGGAAACTCATACTGCATATCCAGACAACTACTGAAAAAATAACTCTGCTTCACCAAATTTTATTTAATTTATTAAACTTGAATAGATATATCAACTGTTTTGAAAGAAACTGACCCAGTCCTGCTTTTACAACGGAAATAAATTTGTTCAAACATCCTAAAAAAATCTGAAAAATAGATACCTTTCCTTTAATACAGCCAATGCACAAATGTTGATCTAAAATTAATAACATTCGTCTTCTATATTTTCTTTTTTTTCTTGGCATGTGAATACTTCTGAAGGTAACATTTTGGTGCACATGACAATAGGTTTTTTCTTATTTTACCCCTGGTTTGTATGTTGTGGAGTTGTACTGAATATTCATAAAGCTTCTCCAGGAAAGTATTGCATGTTTATTTTTGGAGTGGCAGCAGACTACACCCAATTCTTAGAAGAGTCCATGTTTTTGATATTCACTCCCGAGATGTTCACCAGTGTCTATGAGGTGGGTCTGCATTCACCACTAGCTCTTTGGATCCACCACTGTTGTTGGTGCCAGTCCAGAATGTCCTGAGCCCACTATCTGTCTCCTGAGTCATTAGTCACCTCATGAGGTGAAGAACTCCATCAATTCCCACCAGCTTTTATCTGAGCACTAATGACAGCATCCTGGCTCATACTTCACATCTTGGGACTGCAACAAAAGTTTTTCTGACAGAAATACTGCAAACTTTGGTAGGAAAGGCATAGAGAGTCCTCACACCTTTGGTGAACAAAATACTAATCATATATTAACATTTTAAGCAGATTTATTACACTTAGTCTTTTATATGTAGATTCACCACATACCTCTAAAACCACCCAATGTTGACTACACATCTTAGATAAAGTGTCTGACTCTGCTCATAGCTGTGTGTCCATTACAAATGTAAGCACAACTTGTCAAAAATATTAAATTTTGCAATTGTGGTGTTTTTATTAAATAAGAAACACAATTAAAATAACACATGAATATGTGTGGTCTAGCGATAATTAACTTAAAACATTCTGCACCATCATCCTCCCACCACTTCCTGTCTTCTTCTTCTTCTTTGTGTTTTCCACCAGTAGTAACATTCGGTTGTTGATCACAACTCATGTAATGCGAAAAACTGTTTCCATTGCAGTTTTGTGAAATGAAGTATTTTCGGTACAACCAGAAAACCCCCTCATCCCAGTAAAAACCTTTTTTTTTATTTTTTAATCAAATGTTGAAATTGGCATGTTTCCATTAAACAAATTTATTTTTGTAATTACAATTTCCGCATTTATTATGTCTGTCCATCTCTGTCCTTGGACAGGGCACAAGACAGCTGGTGGTAATCAGATGTCCTGGTGGTGCCAAGGAAAGGCAGTCTCTCCTTTGTTACACTGTTGCCGCTATCCAGTATATCAGCATATTAGTGTGTGTGTGTGTGTGTGTGTGTGCGTGTGTGTGAATGAATGGGCAAATAACTGAATCTTGTGTGAAGCTCTTTGGGATCCTATGGACTTGATAATGCACTATACAAGTACAATCCATTTTCCATTTTGCTATTGAGAATTTTATGGTCAATAGGCAATGATGACTCTTTTTTTTTCTCTGCTGACTAATACAGACATTACTCAGTCATAACAACTGGAACAGTGTTCTGTTTGCATTAATTAACACCTTTAATTTTTCATTTCTTTTTTTTTCTTTTGCTGTTTTCAAAAGCCCATCTTGGGGAAACTGAAATCCTGCCAACTTGCCAAGATTAGACAACTAGTGGAAGGATGTACATAAAAGAATATTTGTATAAAGTCTGTTTCATTAAATTATTCATTCACTGTCACATTATTTTTTTTTTACATTTTTAAGCCATGCATCTTCTTACCAGTGTTGATGGCTCTGTTTCTCCATTAACATTTTTGATCTGTAGTTTTTGTTTCACCAGCTTGAACTGCATGAAGACTGAAACTTGGTACAAGGGGGAGACCTGTGGTTAGAGAAGCTACAAAGTCCCTGGGGGTTGTTAGCCAGATATAGTCTGTTATAAAGCACGTCAGTCATCCCGCCACTTTGATTTTCTTCAGTTTAACTGTTTGATATTTTGGCCAGATAAACAGTATGCATTGGGAAAACTGTAAGTACACCTATCTGTTTCTTCTTCGCCTTTGTAATGTACACTAATTTGTCATAGCCACGTCTTCATTGACAGCTGAGCAGAGTAGAATCTTTTTGTTGTACTTCTTTAAAAATGTTGAACTTTGTGTACTCATACAATGAGAGAATAAGAGTGTCAAAGAAAGTGTAAATCTTCTAATATCATTCATTCAAAAGTTTGCAGATTTTAGTCATTTTTGAGATATTGTTTAAGTTACAAGGTACCTTGCTGAGCAACGCAGAAGCATTTTTTTTGTTTGTGGTTTCAATATTTCTAACCCATATTCTTCTGACTGGGTTCATCTGTTAGACATTGACGTTAGTGTCAAACCACAATTCAGAGTTTTGGTGTTTGGATCAGAGAAATGTTATGATTATGACCCATGTTTTCTTATCACTACAAATGGTTCATATTTGAAAGGCATCTCCAAGCCATCTTGCAGGTGGAAACCATCCGAAGTGTTGTACCACATTCACACACAAACATATATATGCACAATGCTTGTGATTGTGATGGGGGGAAAAAAGAAAGGCATCTTTTCCTGTTGTGGAACTGTGTTGGGACCGGTGCCTAAGCTGTTGCGTGCCACCCTTTTGGAAAGAGGAAGGGTATCTTTTTAAAGCTGGCTGTGTGTTGCCATTGAGTTGTAATCTTGATATGCAAAATGCAATGTGAGGCCCCCTACGCAGTAAAAGGCTGCACATCTGGAGAGCTTCCTCTTTTGTGTTGATTGACTCAGTGTGCATGTACAGCGATGATTGTTTGCCGGTGTGTGCTCAAGTGTAGTTGTCTGAAACAGACAACACTGTCTGCTCAAAGCACTTATAACCTCCTGGAAGCTTTCTTGCCTTGGAGCTTTTTGCATATTTCAGTCAATTTTTTAAATATGTGAATCAAAAGTGTCAGTGGAAGGAATTAGTTTTCTTGATTTTAATCATATCTTTGTAATAATACTAGTTTTACTGGTGTGAAACATTTAGCTCAGTAAGCACCATACCCTTTTTTAAGCCCACTCCTTTAGAGCTTTGCCAGGAATTCTTACAGTTTCTCTGTGCATATTGGCTGCTGGACAACCTCAGAGTTCTTCAGAAATGTATTTTGTGTTTGGGGATAATTACATGTCAACAGAAACCAGAGATGTGTTTTATTTAAAGAGACAAAAATAAACATTTAGTGATTAAGTTCAAAAACTGTTTTATTCATGTAGTCAAGATTTAGATCAGATGTAATAAAACTGAGCTCAATGCTTTTAACAAGATTTCCTAATAAGATCATTTTAAGCGTCCATAACTTTCAAAATAAAAATACCAAATCTCATTCTTGAGATTTGGTAAGGTTTGTGTATGGGGGAATTTTACTGCCATAAGTTGAGAGCACACATTTTCAGACATTTTCAGTCTGAAAGCAGAACTCCATGTCTTTGTTCTCAAAACCTGTAATGTTTGTAATCAAAACTTCTGCTCTCTTTCAAATATTCTCTGTGTTCTCTCAAACCTTTCACCTTGTGCTCAAAACTTCTCTCTGGTCCTAAACCTCTCTGCTCACTTGCAAATTCTTTTCTGCTCTTTCTCAAACAAAAAGTACCATCACCTGGAGCCTCTCAGTCAGCAGAACATACTGGGTGTGTTTCTTTCCTTCTAGTGGATGTGCCTTGCCTGTGTAGCCTGTGTTGCCTGTGTCAATTGTAGTTGAATCCATATGGTAGCATCTGCTTTCTGTGCCCCCCACTTGATGTAGGAAGAATCAATGTCAGCTTTCAGCTTTCTATCAGTGATTGGCAAAAGGCTATTACAAACTTTAAATATATCCAACTGCAGCGAGTTACCGCGTTCACCATGTTTAACACTTTCTGCTCTGATGTCATCCACATCATTCTGTGTAAACTGCAGGCTGGTTCCAAAGTAATACAATACATTTGCAGCAAAAAAGTGTTTGTGTACATACATAAATCTTTTTCCAATAGCATTTGATTAGAAAATGGAGGACTTCCTATGAAGGCCTTCTTCAATAATTAATGGAAAAATATGTAATGGTAATGCAGCAATCAAATGCCTTTTATAATGTTTCTACAGGTATTTTGATGATTAGTCTTTGGTGAAGAGCTCCACGTTTTTGAGATTGTAAACCTCCTTTGTTGTCATCCTAATCTTTAGCTCCCTCCACAGCTTCTCAGACAGGAATTTGGTTGAACCCCTCTAAAACATTAACAGTGCTTCTAGCCTGAATGAACATTAAGGTGATTTAAAAAACAAAAAAACCTTGAACTTAAATCTGTTTTGCGCATAAATAATTATTATTTTGTTTTGTTTTTTAGCTTAACTAAATAAAACACTGACAGAAATGGCAGTTTAAAAGTGATAAATTATGGGTGGAAGGACTTCACCAGGGAATGAAGTTGGTCAAGTTTCATTTGGTGAAATGATTTTAATACCAGCTCCCTCTTTTCTGGTCTGCAAACACAGAGCTGGGAGCCTCTGTCACACTATAGCAACACTGAAGCCCATCCAGCTTTACTACTGGATTACTTACAAATAAGACAATTTTGTGTCACAGCAGGTCTCCTGAATTTTTATCATGAGTGAATAGTTATGTATTAGATGACTTAAAACACTTTTATACATGTTTTCATTCAGGTGATTTCCCTGACATCACATTGCCAGGGAAAACAGAACTCTGAGGTTGTCCAGCAGCCAACAAGCACAGAGAAACTGTAAGAATTCCTGGCAAAGCAGTAAAGGAGTGGGCTTAAAAAAGGTTATGTAACAGTTGATCAATTAGGTAAACGTGAAGCTAAATCAGCTGTAACTATTTTCCCACCTATGCTGCAGTATTCAAAGCACACGTTAAGGGGTCTAGCCACAAGGAAATGCAGGGGTTTTTAAGGAACATCACATTCTGTCATGTTTTTGAAGCATCCTGCTTTTCATGTATGCATTTTGCTCTGAATAGCGCATGTATTCTGGGATAAATGGTGTCAAATTCACAGTGTTCTTTATCAGGACTGGATATGTTGATCTTCTGTTAAATATTAATGAATCAACATTCCATCTTGAATTGAAGCTTTAGTTGTTTAAGTAAATTAAAAAAGTCATTTGCAACTTCTGGTTATGGTGGCCATGTGAGAGAACGTGTCTTCACCGCTCTGCTGTTCCTGTCAAAGAATTGACCTAAAACCCTTCCTTTCAAAACAAACTAAATGACCAGTGAGCATGGGTGTTCGGAGTAATGCCTAAAGCAACAAAAGCATCCCAAGAATTAAGTGAAAAGGCAAAACAGCATAAGCTAATTGATTACCATCTTCGAGGTGAAATGCAGAAAGCTAATGCTAGCTTATGCTCAGCTCCAATAGCTGCTGCAGATAGAGAAGAGAACCCAAAGTCTCAAAGCTGCAAGATGGACGAAATACTATCTGTTGTTAACTCGATCCAGAAGGATTTCTCCTCTAGATCTGACGAAGTTCTGGGCTCCAGCACAGCATCAGAAAAGACATAAATGACTGTATCCAGCGAATCACAGAAACCGAAACACGCATTTCTGATGCAGAGAGATAAAAATTCTACGAGCTAAGGTGGATACACTGGAGTCCAAGAAGAAAGACTTGGAAGATAAAGTTATGGATCTGGAGACCAGGTCGAGACAAAACAGCCTGAGGCTTATCAGCCTGCCGGAGGGAGCTGAAGGGCAGAAGCCATGTGAGTTCCTAGGAAGTGGCTGCTGGAGACCCTCGGTGTTGGAGCAGTGGCCGTGGAAAGAGCGCATCAAATTGGACCCTGGAAGGACAGCAGCACCATAGCAGCTTGCACCTTAATAATGTGCTTTCTCAGCTACAAAGATAAACAGGTTATTGCTCTGGCATCAAGGGCGAATACTGACATTCATTACCAGAATCATCAAGTCCGGTTCTACCCAGATACCGCGGCGGGTCTTCTTCAGCTTCAGAAGCAGTTTGACCCGATACGCACGGAGCTGTGCAAACTGGGATTGCACCACATAGAGCGCACCCAGCCAAGCTGCTGGTGACCTATCAAGACTGGACTCATGCTTTCAAAACAGCGGAGGCTGCACGTGAGTTTCTAAAGAAGATCCAGAAGAGGTAGCAATAGGCTAAACACCCATACGGTTAACAATTTGTGGCTTCTTATCACCTTGCTGCTGTCTTTATCGGCCTGTTGTGTTGGTGATGGAACAGCAGTAGACTATTATGAATACATTTAGTTCTGCTTAGGTATGGCAAGACCACATACCGTTTGATGTGGTGTGCATATTAATAAGTTAAAACTCGTTTGCAAACATGTGGTAGGTTAAATTACTGTTATATATAGTGAACAGCATTGGTAGTAAAACTTTTGTTTTGGTTATTGAATGGTTAGACTAATCCTCAATGCGTTGTGGGTTGGTCACACGTGATAACGGGAAGTGTACAGAGGGGGGAGGGAGTCCCTCAAAAGTCGGACGTGGTGGGGGGGTTCAGGTTTAGGGGATAAGTTGAGAGTTTTGTTGTGTTGTTTAAGCTTCTCAAATGTTCATGTTTCTGTGGGGTAAACTTTGTTTTTTTCTCCATTTCTGGTAATTTGGTTGGTCTTACATGTCGCAAGCCTTAAATCTTAAAATTGTTACATGGAACTGCAGGGGCCTACAACGTCTAAAGAAGGTCAAATAAGTCATTAATAAACTGCATGATTTGGATTCCAGAATAGTATTTCTACAGGAGACGCATCTTATGGAAGAGGATGAGGGGTGGGTCAGGAGTAGGTGGCAGGGTGATATATTCACTTCAGCATTTTCTTCTCAAGCAAGAGGAGTTATGACTCTTGTCCATGAATCTGTCCCATTTGTAAACAATGTTATCAAGGATAAGAAGGGGAGATATTTGATAGTTCAAGTCTCTTTGCTATCGGAAAAAATTAACCTGATCAACGTCTATGATCCTAACACAAATGACTGGGTTTTTTCAGAACTTGTTCCTCTCACTTTCATCG